GCGGGCCCGTGCGCATGCGCCCCGCCCCGCCCGGCGCGGGCGGCCGTTTCCTTTGTTAAACGGTGCGAACGTTTCTTCAACTGCAGCCCTGTTTGCTACCGTGTTCGAACGCGTACTGCTACAAACATGGGCGTCGGGAATAAAACTATGACTTTATTTTGATAAATAGTAGTACAGTCTGAACACCCGCCTCGGCACCTGTTTTATTTCTAATTCACACACGAAATGGTGGAGCCGCCCCCACCGACAAGGGCACACACTTGTCACACACGTTGTTACATGCAGCTCTGAACAGTAAAAATGCCCCACACGAGGCGATGAGAAACCTCCCGGGCACTTGACCCCAAGGAGGACACAGCAGTTACTGAGCAGGTGCCAAAACACTCGTCCGCCGCCTCGAATCCGTGTTTTTGGCCATGCCCCACAGTCCGAGTGCTGCACACCTGCTGGCAATGTGTAAAAAAGCACGAGTTCATGTAAAAGGGCATTATGTGTGATTGCACAAAATAGCACCAGTTAAAAGGGACCAGTAAGTAAACTTTTACATCCCATTTATTCTAAAACATTCAAAAATCTCTAAAAAACATGAATTTCACTGAAGCCCAAGACCAGTCCATGCCAGATGAGCACAATCTTCCCCACACCGGGGATTTCGTGGCTCTTCCACACCCCGCCAGCTGGTTGGGCTCGGAAACGCAGAGCTCAGGCTGCCCACACGGCCACAGGCACGAGGAGCCCGTCCCTGCCCGGCGCAGGACACCGGGGCGGCTACATTGGCACTTCCTATTTATCCAGCCACCCGTGACTGCAGCAACGGGATATTGGGCGAAACAAACCCAAGGCCAAGGCTTCACCCTTCGGCTCACCTGCCTGGATCACACATTTCAAGCAGCCTCAAGGTTCAGCTCCCCCAACCCCTTTCCATTTTGGAGTCTTTAAACAAATCCGATTTGAGGCCTAGATAGCTCCCGGTGGGCCTGTGAACTGAGTCAAGCTCTGCAGCCAGGCACACGTGAGCCTCTGACACACTGGGGTGACACAGGGAGACAGCAGAACACCAACTACATGCACACAAATGCACAGAAATGCCATCAAAGCTCCGGGCCAAGCGTGTCCCGACAGCGCTAGCCGAATGCATGTGCAAAACAGTATGACGATGTGAAAGGACAAAGATATTCAAAGTGCTTCCAGTTGAGAAGAAGAAACATTATAAGCTCAGGGCTACCAACGTGGAAAGCTCCTGAAACACCTCTGGCATTCAGTATAATCAAAATTTTCATTTTTGGTGGCAGTGCTGCTGCACAAGGCTCCCACAGGCACTATCTAGCCCTGCCTGGTGCCTCCCTCTCACGCCAGCGCCTGGCAGCTGTTGCTGGTGTCATTTTATCAGCTGGATTCTAGCACTGACCTGGGCTAAAGCAGTGTCTCGGCTCCCACGTGTTGTTTCTTTATTTAGACAACTCCTGCAATGCTGGTCTGAGTGTGGCCTCCCAAACAGCCCTACTGCCCGAGCACGGAGCAGGAGAAGGGGCAACAGTTCCTTAACCCAGCATAGGCACCAGCAAAAATGCTCCCCAAAGCCACCTCCAAAGGAGCCAGGAAGGGCTGGGTAATTTTTACATTCCACACAATCCACTCGCCCCTTCAGGCAAGTACAGCATTTCTCTGAACTACAGCACTAGGTCTCTGACAGCTCTGCAGGAAAATAATGAGCAGGAGCTTCCCCCTGCGCGGTGCCAGGGTGGCAGGAGGAGGGAGGAATGTCCTTCCAACTCAGGAATGGAATTTCTTTCTTTTTACAAGCAGAAACTATATGTTCATACAGCAGTTAACTCTGCCACATTACAGTGACTTTACAGAAATGCCTGTATAAACGCAGCCCCAAGAGACCTCAGCAGAGAACACACACACACCCTACAGAAAGCTTCTCCACCTCATCCTTCTTCCCTCTTGCAACACTGCAGCAATCCCAGCCCTGACGGATGTTCATATGATACTAATTTCAGCCTTCCTCTTCCATCTATGCTACCATGAGTTTCCATAAAACCTGAAAAACCTCTGATCTTTAAAACCTACACTGCTCTGTGAAATGCAAGTGAAAACACGAGATGCAAAGCTTGGAGGGGAGCTGACATACGCGCAAGGTATGAGGACACCAGAAATCCTAAGAAATCCTAAGAATTAATGATTCATAGTCAATCAAACGCATGCATGTTAGTACCTGGCACGTGACAGGACATGAAACAGGCTGATGAGAAGGCTGGTCGTGGCCGAGGGGAACTGCCTGCATTCAAACAGCACAGAGGGATGCTGCTTTCCGCCGGCCCCAGACTGCAGGGCAGAGCTGGGAAAGCCACAATCCTTCTGCCCACGTCGAGCAGTCCTCTAGACAGGAGGCAAAGTTCCCACACCGCAGATGGAAAGAACAAAATAAATCCCGTGGACTAATTAGCATTAAATTGCTACATGTATAATTTTTGGACAAGTTTCTTCGTTTGTTGCTTTTCTTCCAAGTCACACTTTAGCACTTTGGAAAAGAGAGAGTGGTATTAAATAACACAGAGATGTCTGTATCTTGGGAAAGATTTTAGGGATATTCCAGTCTTTCTCCTTTGCTCTTTCCATTCCCTGAAGACACACATCTTAAACACAACTGCAAAGACAGCTATCACAGTAAGGCTTTTCTCATAAATTAGTCAGCAATACCTGTGAATCAGCGAAGAGCCCATCACAAAGCAATGGAGAGACTTCTTTATTTTCACTTCCCAAAGGCCCTTTCAGTGTGAAAATTGTATTTTTAAAATGGTGAACTTCTGCAGTTCACTTCTTGGCTTCAGGAAAACTAACACACATTTTCTTTGTGCTGCTGGGCTGCCACGTGCCATTTCTTCCCTCATGCATTCCTCTGATTTCAGCATCTTAAATCAGATTTACAGGAATAATTAGATTTGGAGAGTAATTGCCTGATAGTTCTGGATGGGGTAAGCCAGTCCTCAAAGTGATACTGCTGTGCATGTATCACATGCTTGTGCTGTGACAATCAACAATTTCTGTAACTATTTTCAGAGTATCAGAGATTTCATCTTAAGCCCATTAGTCCCCTGAAATATAGTGTATTTCCTTTGGTTTTACTCACCTTAGCACCAGACTATAGTCCCACACAGGTATTAATGAAAACAAATACATTTTTTCACAGTCATTCCTATGTAGCTACAGAAAGGATTGTAAGAAAATCATTCAAAAACTTCTATGACCAAGACTGTTTGCACTGAAAATATATTAAAATATTGTTACTGCATTTATCTTTGAATCTATAAACCCGTGAATCCTTGAATCGATATGAATATGAATCTGTGAATCACGTATAAATCATTTAAAATAAATACAAGATATCCACAGTTTTTTATGAAAATCACCTAGAGGATTATGTTAGACATCTGATCAACGAGGTAATCAGTATTACTATGAATACTGTGTATTTGCTCTTTTCTGTAACAGCAGATCTTTTTTAATCTTAAATCTTTTTAGACATTATACACACAAACACAGCCATGTGAGCGCATAGGACTGGGGAGGTTACCTACTGCTTCCCATACGTTAAGTTCAGGGTTGTATTTCTCAATACTCTGTAGGTACGTTCCTTTTGAATAGGAATATCCTCCCGTTACATAGATGCATCCGTTCAGGACCACGGCACCACACTCCATCCTCCTCTCCACCATGGGAGCCATCTGCTTCCACTCATTCTGCTCGGGGTCATAGCAGTCCGTGATCGTGGTCTGTCCACCCACAAAATAGATCTTGTTTTGTAACGTAATTGAACACAAGCCATATTCTTCAGGAAGAAAGGAATACAGTTCAACTCAGAATGATATTAACTTAAACAAGAAACACTATGCATGTTACTGAACTGCAGCTACGTGGCAGACACTGGGCTCTCGGTTTTAATGCCCACATAGGTCGGCTGGGTTTCTTCAGAGTTTGGGAGAGGCCTCAGCAACTCCTGCTGCACTTGGTCTAAGCAAGACCAAGGCACTTTAGAAGACATACACATGATCATGAGTAGTTAGGGAGAATATCCTTAAAAATTTTTTGTTATAAAATGTAGAAAGTGGAAAAAAATGTATTATCTTTGCCAAATATCTATGAATAGTCAGATTTTATGAAACAAACAAACAAATAGCAACAACAACAACAACGAAAAAGCTGTTTAAGAGAACAAAGCCCTTTCTAGGACAGTATCTATATAGGTGTTTGAGGAGAGGTCTCCCTTTCCTCTCTCAAAGCCTGGAAATGGGGATGATCCTACAGGGTCAAACAACAATTCTGGATCTTTCTGCTCCTAAGGGCTTTACCTCTTTTAACAGAAGAATGTCAGAAATGCTGTAAGAGGGCTTAGCGATTAAAACTAGAGGGGGAAAAAAAAACAACCAACCGAACAGAAAACCCCCAAACAAGCTACACACTCGTGAGAGAAACGCTCGTCTACCTGGATGTGGGCTTGTAGCGACTACGCTCCACTCGTTGCTGCCTGAATGGTACCTCTGGATCTTGTCGTAGGTGCAGCTTCCCCTGTAGCCGTAGTGGCCTCCGGTCACGTAGATGATCTCGTGCAGGACGCAGGCGGTGGCGTTTCCAACTCCTGTGCACAGAATCAAAGCCAAAACTCCCTTCAGGCCCCACAAAATAATCTCTGCCATTGCACCATTTCAAATAACTTGATAGTTAACATTTTAGGACGAAAAGGTACTTTCAGGTATGTAAATGAATATGCAATTAACTGTGAGGATACCTTATCAATGTAAGTTAAAAGAAATTAAATAAAATCATATTAACTGACACATTGTATTGCAAATAATATAACCACACAAAAATTCACACATTAGCCACATAGGTTTAGGAATAGGAAACTACTTTCACCATTTTACTGAAGTAAAATCTTTCAAAGTCATCATCTATTTGGCAAGAGAAAAGCTAATAAGAGGTGAGATTATTCAGTGTCTCAGAATATCTTTGCTGATAGTTTTAGCCTTTCCCATGACAATAATTAATGATACCACTATACAAACAAAAACACAAACAGAATGGGTCTACGTTAACTTTATCTCCAGGAAAACGTAAGAAAACTAAAGGGTTTGCAAAGTAAAATGGACAAAATCAGGACAGAAAATGCAGCCAAACATCTGCACAGAATGCATATCCTTGCTCAGAGTACTAGGATAGTATTTCTGTTCTCCTAAGTTAAACAGGAGACTGCAACTCGCGTGTGGCCGCCACTGTCTGTGACACGTGCCAGCCCGCAGCGCGGGATCTGGGTGTCTGCAGTAGTTTGGCCAGGGAGGACCTTACCCAAAGCCCACCAGCGATAACAGGAAGCTTCCCGGCGGCTTCAGTAGAATTTGATCATACCTGAAACGCATCTGCAGCCTCTGTAAGTGGCATCAGCAAAAGGACAGACGTTAAGGCAGCTTACGTACCTTTGATCATGTTTGCAATGGGCACCCATTTCTTTTTTAAAGGATCGTAGAACTCGGCTTCTTGCACGGGAGCTCCCTTCCTGTAGCCACCCAGCGCGTAGATGCAGCCCCCCAGGGACACGGCGCAGTGATAGTATCTGGCATCAAGCATGGGGCAGCCTTCTGTCCACTCGTCTTGCTCACTGTTATAGATCCACACGGTGTCTAGGGCCTCGATGCTCTCAGTTTTGTAACCCCCTGTCACATAAATGTTGGGTCCCAAGTTGGTGACCCCGTAACTCTCCCTGGCGTGATCTGGCATGTCCGTCCCCTGCACCCAGGCATTGGTTAAAGGGTCCCAAACATGCACTTCTGATAAGGGATGCCAGTAATACCCTCCGATCACATACATGACTGCTGTGGGCCTTTTGGGAAGGCCTTTGGGGTTGGGGTTCAGCGCGTTGTACACGAGTGCCCTGATCTTACTATCGTTTAGCCGGCATTTTTTCTGTATACTTAGAGCTGATCTTAAATACGCGCTGTTCAAGTCTATTTTGACGCAGCTCAGCAGCTCACAGATGTCCTCGATTCTTTCTTCCACGTTGTGCGCAACCCACTTAACGACGGCTTCGATGGCTGTCTTCTCTTGCCAAACGTTGAGGTTCTCTTGGGAGAGAATAAAGAAGAGCTGCTCCTTGCCAACGTCCAGAAATTCCTCCTGCTTCCACACATCCTCGAACTGCCCCAGCAGTATCCGCCGCGACTCCTTCTCCAGCTCGGAGCAGTGGTGGTACTCGGCGAAGGAGTGCATCCCGATGCAGTTGTCCGTGTCCAGGCGCCTGACCAGGAACCGCTCACAGGCTTTCTTCACGGCCACGAACTGCAGGAGATCGGCGGCCTCCAGCAGGCTCTGCACGTTCCTCTCCGTGATGTGGATCTGCGCCGTGTACGCGTAGTTCACGAGCGCTTCCAGGACGGCGTGGCTCAGCCCCGGCAGCCGCACGTGCTTTTTGGACTTCTCCTTCATGTCGGCGGTGAACATGGCCCTGAAGTAGCTGCTGCAGGCGGCGAGCAGGGCGCGGTGGCAGTGCAGGAGGCGCCCCGAGCCGCTCTGCAGCGCCACGTCCGTGAAGAGCCCGTCCAGGTGGAAGGCGCGGAGCGCCTCCAGCACGGCGGCCGCGTGCCGCGGCTCCGCGTGCCACAGCGCGTAGCCCCGCGGCGCCGGCACCGACAGCGGCGCCGACACGGCCATGGCCACGCCGCCCCGCCTGCCTTGCCGTGCCCTGCCTTCCCCTACCCTGCGCTGCCCGGCCC